GCAAGATTGAATGCCCAAGGACGGACCTTTTTTTTTAACATGAGTGTGTGTGGGACTATTTCCCTTCGATTCTATTGGCTCTAATGGTCAGGAAGAGATGTCACATGTCAAAATCGAGCAAGGGGGGCCAGAGGAAAGGAAAATCAACCCAAATGGCCCCAGAAGAGGTTTTTTTGTTGCTAAATCTGTCCAAAAAGGTCAAATATCACTTGTTTTGCATCAATCTTGATACAGGGTACTTATTATATGCTGTACTTTGGATTCCTAAAGCTTTTAGTCTACTAACCCATCATCCATCCAAGGTTAGTTTTCCCTATAAGCACAAAATACTTTTTGGACGGACACTATAATTTACAGTTTTTTACCATGTTCAATCGGAATTTTTTTTAAAATAAAAAACATCTATATTGATTCTGACTTTTTTAAATCCAACTCACAGGTGTATCATTACTTTGAGAAACAATATTATTAATTTAACCCTTTTAGAAGGGAAGATATGGTCATTTGTTCTGGGAATGTCATTTTCGAGCCTGAAACCTGAAAAACAGGCTTGGGGCTTAACAGGTCACCAGCATTCTACTGCAAATACTGTTACCTACGTCACTAGTTTAAATAAAGAGATCCTTCACCTTAATGTTCGTGCAACCTGTCAATGCAAGCATGTATTTTAGTTCATGCATCACATTTGCCTATCTGTTTTTAAAAGCATTTTGACAAGCAAGTCATTCTTGTCTATAGTTATAGAATAACTTAAGAGCTATTTTTATACTTGTTTTTATTCAAATATCAAAAAATAATAAACCAATAACAGACATAAATATGTAAATAAAACAGGTTGCTTAAGAAAAATACATTCAATTTGTCAAATAATTTCTAGTTATATACAGTATAAAGATACTTGGCGCATCTCATTCATTTCAGGGACATTGAGTGGAGTTTTTATGGAAGTAGCATGTGAAAACAGTTGAGGGCTTTTTTTGTGCAAAAATGTGATTAATTTTTTTATTAGAAAGTATATAACTTTAAGGGAATACTATGGATGTTAGTTTCCAAATGCTAGGTATCTAACATTATATAAACACAACATATTGACATCAGCTGTACATATACAGAGTTATACAAATATAATAAAGTAAGGAAATAAAACAGATTTAATTTCAAGTAAAATATTTATCAAACACACACTTTGTTTGTATTGCCTTTTTATTTTTAATATGTAATAGTGCTGCATTAAAACTCAGTCCAGTTCTTGTGAATGTGACATTTTCCCAAAAATAAAATTAGTTTAAAGTTTATTAAAAAGTCCTGAAGACCATGGCTGAAGTCGAATAGTCCAAAAATCAGCTCCTATCGTCTAATCCTTGACCTCTGTGTGAAACGTCACGGGGTTAAGGGATAGTGGATAGGAGAATTCAAAAGGACTTAGGAAAGAGATGCTAGAGGTGCTTTGAGAATCCGACTGCCTTTACACTATCGACGTATTTATGAGGTCCCAGCGGACGTCATGAATGTGCGTCTGCTGCTGTGGGGAAACCATAGATATATATAAACATTTATGTTTAATATATATATATTAAACATAAATGTTTATAGATATATAATATATCTATGGGGGAAACTATAGAAACTACAGTTTTCTATACAGCGGAGTGAGCGGACTACATGGATGTTTAATAAGAATGACGGACTACTGTAAAACGCATCTAGAGACTTTGCACCATGCTTTATGAGCGGGTACAACAGAGAAACATAAATTCTTCATGACCAAAGTTGGAATTGAAATAAAAAAGAAAAGTGAAACTTATGCTCGTCACCCTCTCCCTCCGGTCCACATTAATACAAATGATCCCAATACGTATGATTGTATGAAAAGATCTTAAAATAAATACAAATGCATTTATTATAAACGTTAGTCCTTAACATCTATCACTGTATAAATCACCATTAAACATCTTTTAAAAGTTGAACAAACCCCACACAGCTCAGTAAACACTGTGAAATGTTGACTTTAGTTGATCATTTCAGTAAAGACTAACGTTCATATTTCTCTTTTTGATTATAATACTGATGAACGTTCAAAACAAAGCACTTTGGCAACTTACCACATACGTTTTAAATTTTTTAAAAGGCACCATAACTTTCATGATATAATTTCTCTGTCATAATTTGTTGTTTCCGCGAACGGCCGAATATCCCCTTGCAATAAATGCTGCGGCCGCAAGGCATTGTGGGGCAGAATTTTCAAATTGATTTCGTAAAGGAAGATCCAGTGTTTCCTAAGCTAAAGGAGGTTATAAAGGAAGCTACACTGAACATCAACTTTGCCTCCTTATTACACTCACCCCTACTTTAGTGGGAACAATGAGTCTGCGTCTTTGATGCGCATAGGCGGTTGATGCGGGGATCAGACTCCTGCATCGGGTCGGGTACCCGACGAGTGACCTGCAAAAAAAGTGATTTGCGGGTGGTAACAAAAAAAAATCTGGGTTCGGTTCTGGGTAAAACAAAGAAGATTCGGGTCGGGTCGTGGGTGTTGCATAATAAATATATTTAAATAATAATAATTGAATGTTTAAAGATTCCTCAGACCTCTCCCCCGCGGGACCGCGCATAATCATAACAACTGCACCGCATCAATCTGCTGCTGAGCGCGCTACATACGAAATGGCTGAGGTGAAGCTGTCTAGAGGAGAATACAGCATTGTAAACATTCATACACAAACATATACTGTAAGTATATATGGCAAGCAACCAGGTGAATGAAGACATTTTAGTTTTTTCTGGGATTGTGGATATGACAGATAATTTTGAGGAGTGTCTCTATTTTTTATGTCGTATCTTTTTCATATCTGTGTCATGCAATGTGGGTCTCACTTCTGCAGTCAGGGCACAGACTGTAGAGGGCTCTTTGGTCTTGACTTGGTCTCAGTTTAGGGGGTTTGGACAACAACAGCACTGCTAAAGTGTTTCTCTTATAGTGTCCGTTAGGGCTGTGCAATTAATCGTATTTTAATCGCAATTACGATTATGGCTTGCAACGATTACGAAAACAGCATAATTGACAAATTATGCAGGCGAGGGCAGGGGCGCCAACGAGGGCGAGGGCATCCCCACAGGGGGCGGGGGGCGGGCCATGGGACGGCGGCCCCGACGTGGGGGCAGAGCCAACTCCAACGGCCCGGAAACGTCCACGTGAGTAGGCTTAATCCGATCAACGGACACAGTCTCAGGCCTGCCACCAATGTCCACCACCAGGCTCTTGTCCCCGTGACGTATGACCCTGAACGGACCGTCGTAAGAGGGCCGCAAGGGACCGCAGTGGGCGTCGTGGCGAATAAAAACGAAATCTGTCGACCGTAATCCGGGGGACACCCGGAAAGCTGGGTTGCTGTGCTGCGACGTGGGGACGGGCGCGAATGTCCCGGCGGTCTCCAGCAGGGAGGAGCGCTGCCCGGCCGCAGACCAGGGCACAGTGGCGGTGGGAATGAATTCCCCGGGGACCCGTAGCGTCTGGCCATAGACAAGCTCTGCCGACGAGGACTGCAGGTCTTCTTTGGGGGCACACCTGAGGCCGAGCATAACCAACGAGAGTTTATCCACCCAGTTGCCGTCGGTCAAGCCGGCACGCAGTGACGCCTTCATGAACCGGTGAAACCGCTCACACAATCCGTTAGCCTGGGGGTGATATGCGGTGGTGCGGTGCAGTTTGACCCCCAAACCCACAGCAACAGCGTTCCACAGCTCCGAGTTGAACTGAGAACCACGGTCAGAGGAGAGGTCAGACGGGGTCCCAAAGCGCGCCACCCACGTGCCGATGAAAGCGCGGGCGACGTCGGAAGCTGACGTCGAGGCGAGGGGAACGGAATCGGGCCAGCGGGTCGTCCTGTCCACCATCGTAAACAGGTAGGTGAAACCGTGAGAGGGGGGAAGTGGACCTACAAGGTCGACATTGACATGGTCAAACCTCCACTCAGGAACCGCAAAAAGTTCAAAAGGGGCCCTAGTATGGCGGTGGACTTTGGCCCGTTGACAGGCCACGCACGAGTTGACCCAGGACTTCACGTCCTTCTTAAGCCCCTGCCACACGATCTTCTGTGAGAACAACTTCACGGACGGCTTCCTACCGGGGTGGGAAAGATTGTGAACCGCCTCAAAAACGGGTCGGCGCCAGGCCGCAGGGACCAGCGGTCGAGGCTGGCCCGTGGAGACGTCGCACCACAGCTTTGCGCCAGAGTCACCGACCATGACCTCCTCCAGGCGTAATCCCGTGACCGAGGCCTTGAGGGTCTGGACCCCGTGGTCAGAGGCCTGGTCAGCGCCCATGCGGAGGTAATCGAGGCCCAGCTGCACAGCTCCGTTGACCGACTCTAGGAGAGGCAGTCCGCAACCACGTTAGCCTTGCCAGTGATGTGTCGTATGTCCGTGGTGTACTCGGAGATGTACG